ATAAAATACTGGCAAACCGAATCCAGCAGCACATCAAAAACCTTATCCACCATGATCAGGGATCAGCCGTGATCCCTGGGATGCAAGGCTGGTTCAACATATGCAAATCAATAAATGTAATCCAGCATATAAACAGAACCAAAGACAAAAACCACATGATTATCTCAATAGATGCAGAAAAGGCCTTCGACAAAATTCAACAGCCCTTCATGCTAAAAACTCTCAATAAATTCGGTATTGATGGAACATATCTCAAAATAATAAGAGCTATTTATGACAAACCCACAGCCAATATCATACTGAATGGGCAAAAACTGGAAGCATTCCCTTCGAAAACTGGCACAAGACAGGGATGCCCTCTCTCACCACTCCTATTCAACATAGTGTTGGAAGTTCTGGCTAGAGCAATCAGGTAAGAGAAAGAAATAAAGGGTATTCAGTTAGGAAAAGAAGAAGTCAAATTGTCCCTGTTTGCAGATGACATGATTGTATATTTAGAAAACCCCATTGTCTCAGCTCAAAATCTCCTTAAGCTGATAAGCAACTTCAGCAAAGTCTCAGGATACAAAATCAATGTGCAAAAATCACAAGCATTCTTATACACCAGTAACAGACAAACAGAGAGCCAAATCATGAATGAACTCCCATTCACAATAGCTTCAAAGAGAATAAAATACCTAGGAATCCAACTTACAAGGGATGTAAAGGACCTCTTCAAGGATAACTACAAACCACTCCTCAGTGAAATAAAAGAAGACACAAACAAATGGAAGAAAATTCCATGCTCATGGATAGGAAGAATCAATATCATGAAAATGGCCATACTGCCCATGGTAATTTATACATTCAATGCCATCCCCATCAAGCTACCAATGACTTTCTTCACAGAATTGGAAAAAAACTGCTTTAAAGTTCATATGGAACCAAAAAAGACCCCACATTGCCAAGACAATCCTAAGCAAAAAGAACAAAGCTGGAGGCATCACAATACCTGACTTCAAACTACACTACAAGGCTACAGTAACCAAAACAGCATGGTACTGGTATCAAAACAGAGATATAGACCAATGGAACAGAACAGAGTCCTCAGAAATAATAATACCACACATCTACAGCCATCTGATCTTTGACAAACCTGACAAAAACAAGAAATGGGGAAAGAATTCCCTATTTAATAAATGGTGCTGGGAAAATTGGCTAGCCATAAGTAGAAAGTTGAAACTGGATCCTTTCCTTACTCCTTATAGGAAAATTAATTCAAGATGGATTAGAGACTTAAATGTTAGACCCAAAACCATAAAAACCCTAGAGGAAAACCTAGGTAATACCATTCAGAGCACAGGCATGGGCAAGGACTTCATGTCTAAAACACCAAAAGCAAGAGCAACAAAAGCCAAAATTGACAAATGGGATCTAATTAAATTAAAGAACTTCTGTACAGCAAAAGAAACTATCATCAGAGTGAACAGGCAACCTATAGAATGGGAAAAGATTTTTGCAACCTACTCATCTGACAAAGGGCTAATATCCAGAACCTATAAAGAACTCAATCAAATTTACAAGAAAAAAACAAACAACCCCATCAAAAAGTGGGCAAAGGATATGAACAGACACTTCTCAAAAGAAGACATTCATACAGCCAACAGACACATGAAAAAATGCTCATCATCACTGGCCATCAGAGAAATGCAAATCAAAACCACAATGAGATACCATTTCACACCAGTTAGAATGGCAATCATTAAAAAATCAGGAAACAACAGGTGCTGGAGAGGATGTGGAGAAATAGGAACACTTTTATACTGTTGGTGGGACTGTAAACTAGTTCAACCATTGTGGAAAACAGTGTGGCAATTCCTCAAGGGTCTAGAACTAGAAATACCATTTGACCCAGCCATCCCATTACTGGGGGATATACCCAAAGGATTATAAGTCATGCTGCTATAAAGACACATGCACACATATGTTTATTGTGGCACTATTCACAATAGCAAGGACTTGGACTCAACCCAAATGTCCATCAGTGATGGACTGGATTGAGAAAATGTGGCACATATACACCATGGAATACTATGCAGCCATAAAAAAGGATGAGTTCGTGTCCTTTGTAGGGACATGGATGCAGCTGGAGACCATCATTCTCAGCAAACTATTGCAAGAACAGAAAACCAAATACCGCATGTTCTCACTCATAGGTGGGAACTGAACAATGAGATCACTTGGACACAGGAAGGGGAACATCACACACCAGGTCCTATTGTGGGGAGGGGGGAGGGGAGAGGGATAGCATTAGGAGATATACCTAATGTAAATGACGAGTTAATGGGTGCAGCACACCAACGTGGTACATGCATACATATGTAACAAACCTGCACATTGTGCACATGTACCCTAGAACTTAAAGTATAATTTTTTTAAAAAGCAGCTTTTTTTTGTTAACTCCATTATATGCTTTAAATAATAAGGACTATAGAGGATTTTACTAAGTAGCTTCATAGTTGCTAATCTGAGCTACAAGAGACCAAAGAGATTTAATAGGTTCTTAATATGATACAAATACTATGGCAATTTCTCAAGATGAATAATAGCAAAAAGAAAAGGAGATGACATTTGTGATTGAAATTAAAGAATGCAAGGATCTGCAAAAGGAAAGAAATTGTGTGAATCAGTGAATGGTGGCAGAGTCTCAATAGTTCACGAGCAGCAGGAAACACAGAAGCATCAGTGCCGCACAGGACTACCCTGAGAGAAATCATCATGGTCCATTTGGCTGACTTCACTTGTTGGAGTGACAGGAGTCTAAATAAGAGATAAATTTATTTTAAATGTGGCCAACCTTAGTATTTTAAATATGATTTTATTTTTCCATTAGTTGTTATTTATTGCATATATGTCATGTGATACAAATTTTTTTTCCTGTTTAAATATTTGGAAGTGTATTTATGTTATTTTTTCCACTATACTTGTTTTTTAAACTTTTATTTTAGATAAAGAGGGTACATGTGCAGATTTGTCACATGGGAATATTGCAATCCCATCACCCTGATAGTGAGTATAGCCATCGACAGGTAGTTTTTGAACCCACCCCCCTGCTACCCTCTCAGAGTCCACAGTCTCTACTGTTCCCATATTTATGTCTATGTGTGTTCAGTGTTTACCTCCCACTTATAAGTGAAAACATGGTGTATGTAACTGCTTTCTGTTCCTGCATGAATTTGCTTAGGGTTATCGCCTCCAGCTCCATTCATGTTGCTGCAAAGGACATGATTCTATTCTTTTTTGTGGCTGTATAGTATTCTGGGGTGTATATGTACCACATTTTCTTTATCCAGTCTACCATTGCTGGGTACCTGGGTTGATTCCACGTCTTTGCTAGTGTGAATAGCACAGCAATAAACACACAACTGCAAAAAAAAAAAAAAAAGAAAGAAAGAAAGAAAATAGAGGCGTTCATAATAGTCTGAGGATTTTTTGTATTTCTGTGGGATTAGTTGTAACATCACCTTTGTCATTTCTGATTGTGCTTATTTGGGGTTTCTCTCTTTACCTTTGTTAATCCACCTAATGGTCTATCAATCTTGTTGATTTCTTCAAAGAACAAGCTTTTGTTTGTAGTGAGTCTTTGTACGGATTTTGGGGTCTCAATTTCGTCCAGATGTGCTCTGATTTTGGTTATTTCTTTTCTTCTGCTAGCTTTGGGTTCAGTCTGTTCTTGTTTCTCTAGGTGCAATATTAAGTTGTTAATCTGACATTTTTCTAACCTTCTTGATACAGGTGTTTCCTGCTATAAACTTTCCTCTTATCACTGCGTTAGTTGCATCCCAGAGATTTTGGTATGTTGTGTCTCTATTCTCAGGCCCTGTTAACCACTGTTCTACCTTCTATAGTCAAATTCAGAAGAATTTCACTTGAATTTGACTGCTCTAGGTACATCATATAAGTGAAATCATAGAATATTTATCTTATTATGACTAATTTATTTCTCTTAGCGTGTCCTCAAGCTTCATTCAGGTTGTAGCATGCATCAGAAGTTTCTTCCCCTTAAAAGCTGAATAATGTTCCACACTAAGTATATATCACGTTCTATTTGTCCATTCATCAATCACTGCACGTTTGGGTTGTTTCTGCCTTTTGGCTATTGTAAATAAAATCTTCTATGGACCTAAGTGTACAAATATCTGTTGAAGTCCTTGCTTTTTGCTTATTTTGGGTAAATAACCAGAGAGGGAATTGCTGGATAACATGGTAAATCTATGTTTCATCTTTTGAGGAATCACTACACCATTTTTTCTTTTTAAGGCAGAGTCTCACTCTGTTGCCAGGCTGGAGTGCAGTAGTGAGAACTCGCTTGCTGCAACCTCCGCCTCCCAGGTTCAAGCAATTCTCCTGCCTCAGCCTCCCAAGTAGCTGGGATTGCAGTCACGCGCCACCACCCCCAGCTACTTTTTGTATTTTCAGTAGAGACGGGGTTTCACCATGTTGGCCAGGCTGGTCTTGAACTCCTGACCTCAGGTGATCCGCCCGCCTCAACCTCCCAAAGTGCTGGGATTACAGGCGTGAGCCACTGCGCCTGGCCACACCGCACCATTTCTACAGCAGCCGCACCGTTTTACATTCATCCCAGCAATGCACGAGGGTTCAAATTTCTCCCCATCCTTGCCAACATGTTATTTGCTGGTTGTGTTTTCCTCAATAGCGCTTTTGGTTTTCATTGAAAAATGATCTCAGCTGGTGCTAAAGAGTCTCTTTAAAAGGTCCCTAAGACTCGGCATATTTTAAATTTACTCCCAAGGATCAGATCACCTTCAATCAGATCACAGGCGGAATCAGGAGGGCAGCCTCCAGAATGGGCTGGCTCTTGTTCCCTCTCCTCCTTAGGTCTCCTACTCAGACAACAACCTCTCCCCTCCCAACAACTGCTCCACCCTGCAGAATCTCCCAAGTAGCCCCATGAGCTGAGCTTCCCGCCTGTCCCTAAGTCTCCACTAATCACCACTCACAGAAAAGCAGGTGCAGGGGAGCCTGAAGGCCAAATCTCCACGAGTGTAGTAGGCAGGTGTTTATGGGATCAGGGGCCTGCTCTGAAGCCTGGGCAAAGGCCCTGGGGAGGCTCTTGTTGGGACCCATCTTTTTCCTTCCGTCTGCCCGTAGAGTCAGATGTGCAGCAGTCTGACCTGGAAAAGACAATCAGCAGGTCCCACAAGGATATCAGCACTGTTTCCATTTCTTTCAAACCTCCAAACCCTCTCCCACACTCCCATCTCCTCTCATACTTTAAACTGAAAAAACAGAAACTGCCAGCCAGGAAGCGCTGGTTTTCTACCCTTCCAAACCCACAAACCTCCTTTTTCTTCCCCTTGTCACAAGGCGGAAATACTGCGACTCATCTCTTTGAAGGCCAGTCCCGGGGGCATTCCAGGCCTCAGCCCCAGGCCTCCTCAGTAGACCCTGCACCATTCTTCAGCCCCCTCCCTCTAAATTCTCAATTTCTACCTCTCTACAGAGTCTTCCCATCTGCAGCCAAAGAGTGTCCCCCACCTGACCACCCATCGTCACCACAACACACCCTCTCTGTCCTCTTCACAGCCGAGCCCCTTGGCAGAGTGGACGCCGGCCTCCACGCCGCCTTCACCTCCTCGCCTCGGATTCACCCTCAACTGCTCCCACCTGGTGAGGTCCAACCTCCACCTTCTTCAGGCAGAAGCTGTGCTGCTGTAATTAAAGCAATAGGAATGACTAATTCACTGTTGTGCTTTGTTTTTATCTTGCCTGAAATAGCAGAGCTACATGTATAGTTAGACTAATTCTATTACGCTGGGTTCATGGTATATTTCTTTTCCTTTCCCCATAGTTTTAATGGTTTATAGTTTGATACCACAGATCGTAGTATCAGCTACCATAAAGTCTTTGGAGCTAGAAGTTCTAGAAAGACAAGGAGAGACACACCTGGTTCCGTTTGTATTTAACTCAAAAAGCAATTTCAAAGCCATGATGATATAAATTACAGCCCGATGTGTGAAAAAACAGTAGGTAGTCATTTAATCCTAAATCCCCAGTGATAGGCGTAGAGAAGCTCTCAATAAACGTTTGTCAAGTGTGTGGGTGAATGATACAAAGTCAAAAGCGGAAAGCCACAGATGTTACGTGCTTGACAAACAGCATGGGCAACTGTGCGTGCCTACCGACACACACCAGACACACGCACGGAGACGAAACAGGTGCAGCCTGGGAAACAGGTGCAGCCTGGGAAACAGGTGCAGCCTGGGAAACAGGTGCAGCCTGGGAAACAGGTGCAGCCTGATTTCCTTTTTGATTTTGTTTTCTGTTTCTTGTTTAATAGCATCACAGGGATACAAGCTGGAGGGGGCGTGCCAGAGTGCTCTACACTACAATTCTACGCTCTCTGTGTTCCATTTGGTAGAAAACATGGTTTTGGTTCTCTGTTCCCACACCCCTTGATGGGAGGAGAGATAAGGTCTCCTTGCAAACACCCTGCCAGGCGGGAGCTGTGGGTATGGTCTCATCTTTGGAAAGTCTGCTGCTGGGGACTTCAAGGACGTTTCCTTCCTGAAGTTGCAGCAAATCCTACCAAGGCATTTCTGCACTGATGGATTATTCCCAGTGATTCATGGGCCAGCAGGTGGGGCTGCACCTGACCGGCCTTCTCTGTCCCACATAGCGTCAGCCTGGGAGTTCTTGCGTGAAGCCACAGTGGCCAGCAGCTGGGCTGAGCTGAGGGTCACTCCCACGATGCCCGCCTGGCCCATACACGCTTCCCCTTCCCTGACTGCTCTGGCTGGGACTTTCAGTACTGTGTTGAATAGGAGTGGTGAGCGTGGACACTTCCTAACTCAATGTCTTATCTTGAGTTTCTTCGTTGTATGGCAACTGGTGTCCCCAGAGACAGGATCTCTGTCACGGCACTGCTGCAGAAGCCACACGACCTCAATTCTGCGGTCTCAGACTCGGGGAAGGGAAAGGGACGCCGCCGCCCCTTGATAGGAGGAGAGACAAGATCTTACAAAAATCCTGCCAGATGGGAGCTGCAGGTGTGGTCATCTTTGGACACAATCTGCTGCTGGGCCTTTAAGGACGTTTCCTTCCCGGAGCTGCAGCAAAGCCTATTTCTAGGCACTCCTGCTTAGCAGGCAACCTGGTGAGCGGACTCTAAGAAGAGTTTCATGAAGCCCCCTGGATGTTCTTTTTAAATATCTCAGTTGACATGAACACAGAAATGAGCAGCTGGGTCTGGAGCAGGTGGAAGAGTAACCTGAGGTCATCCAGTGGCATGAAGCCCAGCCATGGTGGAGACCTTTATGGGACCCACCCACCGTGGGCTCTGGAATCTTGACCACAGCCCCCCACAGGGGATCCGAATCCACTTCTGTCTGTCTACAGCATTACCTGGGGGTTTTATTTTTTCACTTGGAATTGCATAAACACTGTTTCAGTATAGTTATTTTTATTGTGGTAAAATATACATCACACAAAATTTACCATCTTACCCATTTTCGGCACACAACTCAGTGGCATTAAGCACATTCACATTGTTGGGCGACTGTCACCACCACCCATCCACAGAACATTCTCGTTTTCCCATTTAACACGAACCCTCTCCATTCCCTCCTTCCCCAGGCCCTGGCAAACATTGTTCCACTCTCTATCCCTGTGAATTGGATGACTCTAGGTACCTCTTAGAAGTGGATTCAGCCGGGCATGGTGGCCCATACCTGTAATCCCAGCACTTTGGGAAACTGAGGCGGGCAGATCCCCTGAGGTCAGGAGTTCGAGACCAGTCTCGCCGACATGGTGAAACCCCATCTACTAAAAATACAAAATTTAGCTGGGCATGGTGGTGCATGCCTGTAATTCCAGCTACTCGGGAGGATGAGGCAGGAGAATTGCTTGAACCTGGAAGGCGGAGGTTGCAGTGAGCTGAGATCAAGCCAGTGCATTCCAGCCTGGGCAACAGAGCAAGACTCTGTCTCAGAAAAGAAGAAGAAGGAGAAGGAGGAGGAGGAGAAGGAGAAGGAGGAGGAGATAATTCATACAATATTTGTTCTTTTGCGTCTGGCTTATTTCACTTCACATGATGTCCTCAAGGTTCATCCATGTTGTAGCACGTGTCAGAATTTCATCCCCTTTCAAGGGTAGGCAATATTCCATTGTATGAGTAGACCACATTGTTTATATATTCATTCATCAGTGAATGCTTGAGTGGTCTCTACCTTTGGGCTACTGCAAATAAGCCTCCTGTGAACATAGGAGCAGAAATATTAAAAATGATTCGTAGAGGAAAATTTATTCAGCCAGTACTTGAGCATCTGTTCTGGACCAGATGCTGTGCCAGCAACCACGATAAACAAGACTGTAGGCACAGCCAACCGTCTCCTGGAGCTCAGAGCCTAAAGGGGACAGAGAATCAGTGTGGTGAGGTAACTGTCAGGACAGGAGGAACAGGTGCCCCATGGACACATGAAGCCTGTCCCAACTCCAAAAAAAAGGCCTCAGAGGGTGGTGTGACTTGGAATCTGGGCTCTGAAAAGTGAGTCTGGGGCAATGGTGTGGGAGCAAACAGGTGTGGTCAAAGAAGGAGGCAGAAACCCAGAAGCATCTGAGTCTGAGGGTGAAATTTGTGGGTGGCATGCACCCAGGCCAAGGGACACATGGGGGTTAGAGTGGGGGTGTCGGCCCTGTGAGCCTATTAGCAAGCTTGGGTTTACCTTAAAATCATAGAAGTCACTGAAACGTTTCAAGTAAGGAAGTGACAGGATCCAGTCTACATTGTATATGATCAGCCTGTCTGTGGTGTGAGTGCATTTGACTGGATGAAGGCAAAAGTTCAGACAGGAGGCTACTGTTCACAGCCAAGCCATCAAGGATGGAGGCCTGAGCTCATTGACTAGCAGGGAAGGAGACAAGGCACAGTTGGGGAGGTGACTGAATCCAGCAAGTGGGAGAGAAGGTGGCACTAAGGAAAGAAAGCCGCAGGTAGTTATTAAACAGTGGAGTCAAGCATAAATCGAGGTGCAGTGAAATACTGACACTGTCGAGTGGGGTCTGGTGCTCATGTTCAGTTCTTCTCCAAGGACCTGGGGGTATCTTGCTCTTTGGTCAGATTTTTCCTCATCAGCCTCATTCCCTGCAACCCGTTAGGCCTCCTGGATGATGCACATCCAAAGAGCTACCATTTTCAGAGCGTAATCTATGTCCTGTGAGACTCAAAACAGTCTATAATGAATCGATTTGTGTCCCCCTAAAATTAACATATGGAAACCCTGACCTTTAATATGACTACTTGAAGATAGGGCCTATAGGGAGTTATAAAGGTTAAATGAAGTTGTAAGCATGAGACCTTAATCTGATAGGACTGGTGTCCTTATAGGAAGAGGAACGGACATTACAGACGCCTTCCTCTGCGTATACACAGAGAAGAGATCCCGCGAGGACACAGCAAGAAGGCAGCCATCCACAAGCCAGGAAGAGAGCCCTCCCCAGACAGCAACCCTGGCAGCGTCTGAATCTCAGACTTCCAGCCTCCAGAACTGGGAGAAAATGCATTTCTGTTGTTTAAGCCACCCAGTCTGTGGTATTCAGTATGACAGCCCAAGCAAGCTAATGCACAGTCTCAAGAGGTAGGCATTGTCATCCCCATTTATAGATGAGGAAACAGGCTCAGAGAGATTGACTTGACTAAGATCCACAGGTGGTAAGCTGCGCATCCGCTGCCCTGCAGTGGAGGCTTCCTTACAGCAAGCCTTTTGTTTTTGCAGAGAACTTTCTGGGCATATCTTTGAAGAACCACCCATTTAACAACTCTGTTTCTAAAGATCCAGCGGTGGCTCTGCATTTCAGCCAGCTGTGCAGATCCACACAATGATGAACTACAGGGCCTGCTCTGCAAGGTCGCCCCAGAGAAGGCTTCCCAGTCTCGGAGATGCAGAGATTTGCTGTACTTCCCTGTCCTCCTGCAATAGTGACGGGGGTTTTCAGTCAGCTGTACACTTTTCAGCTGGAAAAGCGTGACTTCGTGGCTATATAGGATCCCACATGAGTCCCCTGCACCTGTCCTCTGTAACTGCCATGCTGCAAAGTGCACAGAGGAGCCTTGCCTCCAGTCACCTTCCTGTGAGTGCCCTGCGCTCCCAACTGTCTGGCTACAAGTCCAGCGGGACACGAGCCTTACTGAAGCAAGCTTTGAAGTTTTAGTTTGAACCAGATGAAATTATGATTTTTAGAGGTAAAAACGATCAAATATCAGAAATTTCATATGAATCAATGTAATCAATGCAGCTGGCCCTCAATCCTGCCCCTTCCCTCTCATTCAATCCTCTCAGGCTGCCCTCAGATCACCCCAGATCTCTGGCTTCCTCCTCCCACCCTCCCTGGCGGGGTCCCCATGGTGGACAGAGATGGACACCTGGGAGAGAAGTCCGCAAAGGAAGAGAGAGGAAATGGTCAGAGAGGTAGGAGGACAGCGTCAGGGCCCAGAACACATTACCCCAACGTATGGCCCCTTGGCCTCCTGAGTATTTTCTATGGAAGGAAATGGAGAAAATGGCAGGAGCCAGGATATTCTCTAACCCGCTCCTCCTTTCTCCCCTGAGCGTGGTCAGAAAGGAATTCTCTGACTTGCCTTGCCTGAAAGTAGGTCAGGAGACTCTCATTCCAGAGAGCTCCTGACTCGGTCCCCACACCCCCTTCTCCCCTCTGGCCTCATGAAGCCTCTGCTTAAGGGGGGCTCCATGTCCGTCTTTAGCATCTCAGGGTGAATTAAT